GATGGAAATTTTATAAAAAATGTTTATTTTTAGCTTTATTCTAAAACAATAAGAAATAGACCTGTCGAACCCTATATTTTTGTAATCAGAAAAAAATAACGAATTTAATAAGCGAATAATCAGTGGTTGTTTCCATTTGAAAAAACGAAAATTGTCATGATATCTCAAAATCTAAAACCGAAAAATTTTTTTTGACTATGTCATGAAATTCTCTGTAAAAAAGTGTCCATATAATGTCGTAGTTATAATACTCCACCTATAATAATAACCAAGATAATTGCACTTATTGGTTTTACGATATTTTCAATTTTGGCCTCTAGGGGAAAAACAAAAGACGATAGCGTTATGAGGTTTTCAGCATTAGCAGTTTCTCGAAAAACGAGATCATGACATGTCAGCTACTTTTTTTCTAACTCTTATAGTTTCCGAGTTAGCCTATTCGGACATCGAATTTGAACCACCCTGTACTTACTTAAATTTTTGGAATGTCAGAATGACATTAATTTTTTATTAGTAATTATCTTTTTTTTCATTTTGATGTGTTGCGCCCTCCATGCAGAATTATGACGCCCCCCTAGGGGGGCGCGCCCCACAGGTTGAGAAACGCTGGCTTACAGCTAATTGAGCTTATTGAATCGTAAAATTTGGTTTTCTCGATATATTTGATTTGCTCTCTGAATGTTTATTTAATTAGCAGACGTGTCTGTTAAAATGATTTTGAGGTGAAGGTCTGTAAAGGGCATTTAAGCGTTTGAGGCCATTTGGGGGGCAGCGACCGCAGATTTCACACTGGCCACTAATTAAATTTCCCCCCGTGAAACATAATTCAACAATTCCGCCACCAAAATTACATTATTAATATTGCAAGCGGGGCGCCCCAACGGTTCCTCAACACAGACGGTTGATTATTATCGAACGTTTTAGTTCAGCGTCATTGCATATGGATGGATCTTAATTGAATCATTTAGTTACTATTTCAAACATAAAATTGAATTTTGCATTCAACTAAAACGAACAAGAAAGGAACGTCAATTTAATTTACCTTGCTCTAAATAGGTACGAACATTTAATGTTTTTTGGGTAGCTAGATGGGTATTTGGGTGAATAAAAGTTTCCATATGAAGAGCTGGACGAATCCGTGCTCGAAAATTGGTAGTCACACGTTGTTCCGGAAACTTTTTGGCCGCCGGTTTTGAAGAGTCCTGAAAATGTATTGTATAGTTGAAAGAAAAAAAATATTGAGGTGAAAAAGTGGGTAGTAGACGAGTGGAAAGGTTGGAAATCAGAACGATTCGAGACTTGCGCGCTTTTTAATCCCCTACGCAAACCGGGAAATCCACGGGGAAATAACCCTTGATGGCCCCCACCACGTTTTCCCAACTGCTTTGCATTTTCAAGCTACTTTTACTACCCCCATCTAGTTTTATACAACTTTTATTCAACAAATTTCTCATTTTTACAATTCAAAATACTTTTTTAATGTTTAATGAGAACATAAAAAAAGATCTTTATATTTATCGTTAAAAAAAAAATAATAAGAAAAAGGAAATCGATTTCGGGAGGATCTGAAAAGTGTGAAAGCTTCGACCCTCTCAACTTAAGAGTTTCGTCCATTAATCTTACTTCTGTCCATAAATCGAAAGGTGCCGGAGAAACCGGTTGAGTTGCTCCTTTCGTTTCCTGAGTGGAATTCCAAGACGAGTCCGGGACCCGATGAGTACAGAATGGTTGGGATATCCACGAGAGAACCACACAAAACCGTCTCCCATGGAGTGTACTCGTTTACTTCACCACCATTCAAGTGCAAAAACAGTTTTAGATAATCACCCCTAATGCAACTAAAAATAAAATTGAAATTTTAAAATATCATTTCAAGATTATCTTAACTCACTCGTTACTTCTTTTTGGAATATCAAAATCGAGAAAAACGATTTGAATAATTTCGTTCGGTCGTCCAATAAATGTATACAGAACGCAATCGATGTTTTGCGCGTATTGTTTAGGAAAATCCGGGCTTGTGAACGTTCCCATTTCCTTACCGTGGGTCGTGGAATACACGAGACATTCACACCCTGAAATCGACAAAACCTTTTTTCCCTATTTTTTGTGGTTATGCTATTTTTACGGTGAATTTCCGCGAAAAAGTGGGGATTTACTTACCCGGGTGTACGGCTTTTCCAAGGATCATGAATTGCATCCAAACAACGAAAAACCCGATCAGCATTACCTACAAAATTAGAAACATTTTATTTCATTCTACTTTATTTTATTGTACAATTAACAAGTATTTAACGCACGCAGATTTAAATCCCATAACAAAACATGCAATTAAAGTGATTTTCAATTTAAAATCCGTACAAATCCGTACTAACACGATGAGTAAAAACAAAACCGAAATAAATGTACGGAAATGTACCTAAACCATCATCGCATTGTTAAATAAATCCACAAAAATCCAAAATCACTAGTTTCAGATTTGTAACACCAGTACTAACATCGGTCTGTCAAACATAACCTCCAAAAAGTGCTTTTTCTTCGTTTCTTTACAAGGTTGACACTTGTCATAAGGTAATTTTATGTACAGGGTGTCCAAATAGTATTTTAGAAGTTGAGTATTCAGTATTTGAGTTGTGTTTATAACTCAAAAACCGTGATGACTAGAAAAATTCTACGTGCACCGTTGGATTCCACGTGAAAAAATCTATTAGAACCCGTTTTTACTTTTTTACTAAGTTTCCGGATAGCCGAAATACAGGAGGTGTCTGAAAATCGTAATTTTCAAACACTCCCTGTATATCAAAAACGAAGAGGGCTATGAAAATTTGGTTTGCGCCATTGTAAGTTTTACAAAAAAGTAGCTCAGGTTTGCGAAAGCCGCAACTTTCTATCTTTCATAATAACTGAGATACCCTGCAAACCCATCGAAATTTGGACACCCTGTACATAAGATGTTAAAACATAAAGATAATATGTTTGCGTGATAGGTAATATATAGTCAGTAGATGTTTGTGCTCCATAAAATAATTAGGTTCTGTAATAACTGTTTATTAAGACATTTTAAAAAACGTAATATTTGATTAAATAAATTTAATGTACATTTTGTCAAAGTCAATCTAAACATAAATTTTTTAACATTCAGTACACTTATATTTTCTTTTGCCATTATTTTTTGCACTGCATAAGGAACATCTACCATACTACGTGTTTTGTTTTCGGGCAACAGTTTCAGGTCCCATGTTACAGATTTCGATACCTGGAACTAGAATCATTTGGATTTAGCCGCACGTCTTTAAAGACGGCTAAACCCGAATGTTTATAGTTTTAGGTATAGTGTTAGTTCTAGTTTTACACTTACACTGTCATTAGAACTAACATAACTAGAACTAGAAACATTTGGGTTTAGCAGACTTTAGAGACGTGCGGCTAAACCCGAATGATTCTAGTTCTTAGTCTAATGTTAATTCTATTTTTAGTTCAATAAAAATATACAACAATAACGCTGCATTACAATTAAAACTGTTTCTAGTTCTAGATATACACTAGCACTGTTACTGTGTAAAACTAGAACTAACACTAGATCCAGAACTAAAATCATTTGGGTTTAGCCGCACGTCTCTAAAGACGGCTAAACACGAATGATTCTAGTTCTAGGTATAGTGTTAGTGTTAGTGCTAGTTTTATACTGGCACTGTCACTACAACTAACATTACGTCTCTTACGTACGTCTCTTAAGACGGCTAAACCCAAATGTTTCTAGTTCTAGGTCTAATGTCAGTTCTAGTTACAGTGCAAGTGTAAAACTAGAACTAACACTACACCTAGAACTAGAAACATTCGGGTTTAGCAGACTTTAGAGACGTGCGGCTAAACCCGAATGATTCTAGTTCTTAGTCTAATGTTAATTCTATTTTTAGTTCAATAAAAATATACAACAATAACGCTGCATTACAATTAAAACTGTTTCTAGTTCTAGATATACACTAGCACTGTTACTGTGTAAAACTAGAACTAACACTAGATCCAGAACTAAAATCATTTGGGTTTAGCCGCACGTCTCTAAAGACGGCTAAACACGAATGATTCTAGTTCTAGGTATAGTGTTAGTGTTAGTTTTATACTTGCAGTGTCACTACAACTAACATTACGTCTCTTACGTACGTCTCTTAAGACGGCTAAACCCAAATGTTTCTAGTTCTCGGTCTAGTGTCAGTTCTAGTTACAGTGTAAGTGTAACACTAGAACTAACACTAGACCTAGAACTAGAATCATTCGGGTTTAGCCGTCTTTCGAGACGTACGGCTAAACCCGAATGATTCTAGTCTAAGTCCAGTGTTAGTTTTAGTTTTAATTGTAATGCAGCGCTAGATTGTTGTATATTTTTATTGAACTAAAAGTAGAACTAACACTAGACCAAGAACTTGAATCATTCGGGTTTAGCCGCACGTCTCTAAAGACGGCTAAACCCGAATGATTCTAGTTCTAGGTATAGTGTTAGCGCTAGTTTTATACTTACACTGTCGCTACAACTAACATTACGTCTCTTACGTACGTCTTTTAAGACGGCTAAACCCAAATATTTTTAGTTCTAGGTCTAATGTTAGTTCTAGTGACAGTGTAAGTGTAAAATTAGAACTAACACTAGACCTAGAACTAGAATCATTCGGGTTTAGCCGTACGTCTCTTAAAAGACGGCTAAACCCAAATGTTTCTAGTTCTAATGTTAGTTCTAGTGACAGTGTAAGTGTAAAACTGGAGCTAACACTAGACCTAGAACTAGAATCATTCGGGTTTAGCCGTCTTCAGAGACGTACGGCTATACCCAAATAATTCTAATTCTAGGTCTAGTGTTAGTTCTAGTTTTAATTGTAATGCAGCGCTAGATTGTTGTATATTTTTATTGAACTAAAAGTAGAACTAACACTAGACCAAGAACTAGAATCATTCGGGTTTAGCCGCACGTCTCTAAAGACGGCTAAACCCGAATGATTCTAGTTCTAGGTGTAGTGTTAGTTCTAGTTTTACACTTGCACTGTTACTAGAACTAACATTCTTGAAACTTTCTAGTTCTAGGTTTGAGAGACGTGCGGCTACTCAGAGTTATTATAAGGACGTCTCCTTTTCCAACCAAAACTTTTTCTTTGCAAAACTACGCAATGCTTGTACTATTAAGCTATGTTGCATTTTATGTGGGATAGTGTAAGTGTACAGTAGTTTCGTAACTATGGTTAGTACACTCATATACAGGTGTTTTAAAACAACGGTTAAATATTTATAGGGGTAGTGCTAGAGTAGAAAACAAGTCGAAAAGTGTTAATCAACATGGGTCCGAAAATCAACCGTTTTCGCCATACAGGATGTTCAAATTTTTTGGGACTCTACGTTTTTTCTTTTAAACTGTAACTACTACAGATTTGATAATTGGCAAATCGATACACTATTTTTCAGAAAATTCAAAAATTTAGAAATTTACAAGGAGTAGGCTTTGCCTTACGTACAATCTGCTAACATACATTAATTTGACGTTTCGTTCAAATTACGAAATAACCAAACTCCAGTAATTTGATTTTGCGAAACCTGAAGTGAAATCGTTTGCAATGGTCTTGTATTCAAATGCTGAAATGAGCGATATGGTGTTTATGTAAGGCTGTGCCAAAGGAAATATGAAACATTTCCCAATCGCCGGCTAACAGGATTGCTAGACAATTCGTGAAAACTACGGGCTATTTGAAAGAGTTCGGGCTTACTTTGAACGTAGAATGAAAAACTGTATTGATGTTGCCGGTCGACATTTTGAACATCTTCAGTATCTCGAAATCGGTTGATTTTCAGACCCATGTTGATTAACACTTTTCGACTTGTTTTCGACTGTAGTACTACCCCTATAAATATTTAAACGTTGTTCTAAAACACCCTGTATTGCGAGTTATATGAATGAAATTCCCGGTATATCAAAATTCTATTCTTTTTGTGTTTATTGAATTTACTTTACGTTTAAGCAAATGTTTTTGTTATATTGTTTTCAAATTTTTTTGCTTACAATTTTTTATATAAAGTACATAAATGTAAAATTTTCTCTAATAAATAATAACTCTGGGCAAATCCGCTTTTAACAGCAATGCCGGATTCGNGGGGTAGTACTAGAGTAGAAAACAAGTCGAAAAGTGTTAATCAACATGGGTCCGAAAATCAACCGTTTTCGCCATACAGGATGTTCAAATTTTTTGGGACTCTACGTTTTTTCTTTTAAACTGTAACTACTACAGATTTGATAATTGGCAAATCGATACAGTATGAAACTGTCTCTTTTTTAGAGTAGTATGATGTTTCCATTGCTTCCAGTTAGTGTAAGTTATTCCATTACAAAACGTTATACCATTAGTTACCAAAATTTGGCGATTACAAGGAGTAGGCTTTGCTTTACGTACAATCTGCTAACCCTGCATTGCGAGTTATATGAATGAAATTCCAGGTATATCAAAATTCTATCCTTTTTGTGTTTATTAAACATTTTACTTTACGTTTAGGTAAATGTTTTTGTTATATTGTTTTCAAATTTTTTTACTTACAATTTTTTATATAAAGTACATAAATGTAAAATTTTCTCTAATAAATAATAACTCTGGGCAAATCCGCTTTTAACAGCAATGCCGGATTCGTCATTATTCTGGTATAGTAGTAGTGAAGAGTCTTTTTGTCAGACCGATGTTATAACTGGAGGATTAAACCGATTTTTTGTTTTAAATTCTCAATTAATGTTCGTTTTTGATTATATTATTTGCATTGTAATTCGGGGACAATAACAGTATTACCGACGACTTTGAACAAACAACAATACCAGGATTCAATTGAGTGAATAACGTCCCGTATAATTGACGGGATGAATTCGAAGGGATAAAAAAAGGACCTCGTACTGCCGATACCGATAACGCCTATGCTTTTGTGTCGCGAATATCGATTTTGAAGCAGAACGACAATGGAAACTACGGTAAAAAAAATTTGTTTCGGGATAAGGATTGTTCAGGTTTGAGCCCAACATTTGTTCAATTCATCGAACTTTTTGATTTTTCTAAAAGTTTTAGATTTTGCTATAAAACTTTTTTTAAACTTAATTTCTTAAACATAGCCTTTCTTTAAGGCCAACTTTCCTTTCTATTTATTTTTTTTTAATTCTACACAAAAGTTGCAAAACGTAATTGCACTTGAATACATTTGAATACAAAACCCCGTATAAACACTCTTAGATAAAGATCACCACCTTCTGTTTCATTCTATTTCATTCTGTTTTATTCTCTTTCATTCCGTTTCATTCTGTTTCGTTTTAATCCCTAATTCCAATGTGGAATTTACATTTCCTCTCGCTTCTAATCGAATTTTGATACATTTTTAAATTGATTTATTTATAGGGTTGAAATAAACTTGTAAAATGTCATCGCGTTAAGTCAAAATTGAGTGCTGAAAAGGTTGTCAAAAAAATTGGGTATGGTATTCGATCGAAAGAGCGACGAAAAGCGACATTTTTATCCAGTTTTCGCTCGACAATCTGCTTTAAAATGCATGGAACGCGTCCCGTAGGTGTCGTTGAAGACCCCCTTCTTGACGTCTTGACGGAAACGGCTTCAATAATTTATGTTCCGCCGGAAATTCCCTCCAAAAATTTTTTTTTTGATAAAATTAGTCAAAAACTTACCTCCATTAGACAATCACGATCTTTAACATTTCTTCACCGAGATGATGGTGAAGAAATGTTGTGGAGAAATGATGATTTTTACACGATTTTGTTTTTGTATTTCTTCATAATTCTGTAAAGAAAAAAAAATTTATGTTTTTAAACGAGATTGTGAGGATAAAATTTATAAATGGCAAAGTTGGGGTGGTGAGGACGGGTTTATAGAAATTTTTGTCATAAATCGTGGTATATACCACGATAGATCATACCCAGATGTATCTGTTAACCGTTTGGGATGTCAAATTTAATTAACGATGTTTATCCCTGGTTATGCTAATTTATTCCCTTGGGTCATTGTGTTTAGAACAATAATTTTAATCAATTTAAATTAAATTAATCCAAATTAGAATTAGATGTAATTTTTTAACATTAAAATTTGGATTGTTGTTCACGTTTATCGAATATGACCCATCAAAGGATCCTAATAGTGCTTTACCTGAACCAGAAATTATTGTCCAACCCCGCATTCTCTCCCAATTACCTAGCAATCCTGCTTCAAATTCGAGTTTAATTGGGTGACAGTTCTCGTCAGATGATAAATCATTTTCGTGCAAAGGGAAACTTGCTTTAATTTCAACACTATAATATTCTCCGGATATAGTTTAAATCTAATTTCATAAATATGGTACTTAATTTAATAGTAAGTTTCAAAAAATTTACCAAAAACTAGTTATTAGCAAACTAGCATATCATATTATTGAACAATATGTTGATATCAATATCTAGAAATTAGGATATGATTAATTAAAAGCTAAATACAGTGTCATTTAGGATTTGATTCAGCCCCTAGAGTTTACTTCTATTATTGCAAAATTGATTCTTCAATGTCAGGGAGATGAAGTGGTTGTGTCCAGTCACACAGGTAACTTTAATGTTGAAGATTATGATTAGTGCTTGCATCCAAACGTTAAATGCAGAGTCCATTATGATTAGATCCATTATTTAAAAGTTGTTTCTAGTATCAGGGGAATGATTTTAGTATTCTCTTAGTAATTGCAGTATCCACCAGATAAATCTAATATGCAGTTGGTGTGTTTACTATTTATAATGATTAGGTTTAGTCCAAAAGTTAAATTTACGTTCCATTATGGTTAGAGACAAAATCTAGCAGTTGGCTCCACTGTCTATTAGATGATTCCAGAATGAAATAGATGATAATGATTCTAGTACCCACTTGTTAGGTATTGTATTATATCTAATTGGGGCTACTAATATTGACTATACTCTGTTTTTAAACCAGGAGGAGTATTTTAAATTTGTCACCAGATTGACCTTGCACGTGATTGGTTGAATGCGAGGAACGTTCACACACAGGCAATTTTGATTTTGAATTTGAAGGTTAGGTAATTGATAATTCGATAATTTTGTGTTGTTAAACCCTTTTTTATTATATTTTGAAATAAATACACTCATAACTAGGACACGGAACTTTTGATTTAATCAATAATTAAGGAGATAACCTCAAAATAATAATTTTTGAATTTTTATACATAATTACACTTAGACGCTTAATTAATAGAGATGTAAACATTTTTTGTTAAGATAATTGATTCAAAATCCAAATTGAAACAAATTTTATTTAAAACATTTTTTGATAGAAACAATAATTATCGAAATAATTAATTTTGATAGCATACTATTCAGAGGGAAATTAAAATTTCAAGTTAGCAAAAAATTGTATTAAGAAACACTGTTCCTGAAGTAATTCTAAACAAATTTTGTTAACAACATTTTTTGATTAAATCAACAATAAGGATATAACC